TCTTTACTCATACAGTGTATTCTCCATATCTAGTGTTGGAAAGTGCAGAGAAAACTTACATTTTTCTCTCTATAATAAGAAATAAGCTTAGTGAATCAAATAGTGTCTCTCAGAAATGCAGCTCAACTGCATATATAGAAAACTGTTAGCATACAGAATATATACAATCTGCAGATCAGGAAACTGGCAAATTGAATCAATATGCCTAATGTGAATAAGTGGAATACATGTTTATTTCCCCTGCAAATCTGGCTGTGCAATCCCTTTTGCACGCACTCCAAGTCAGAAGAGGGAAAGGTACAGGATTTCTCACCCCCATAAATAAAATACAGCAGTTGAAAACCAAAGTGAAACCGTGTAAGACAGTAGGCTGGAAAATCAGCAAGGACTAGAAATGGAAAGTAAGATTAAAGGTAACACTTAGCCACAAGACTATACTTAGCAGCTTCAGAATAGTATGCAGTTAAACACACACACACACACACACATTAGCAAAGCTTACTTTGTAAAGCGCCTTGCTCTCACTTTTAACAGCAGATGATTGCTATTTACTGTAGGGTAGTGAACCACAGGAAGCTGGCCTTTTTTAGTCCTCTTGCCCTGGAAAAGAACTGTCTGAAGGCAACTCAAGATAAACTTCCTTACTTCCCTTCCCAACCCCGGCTGTGGCTTTTTTTCCTTGACTGTCTATCTGAGCATCTACAATTCAGACAGCTGAGGATCCTGCCCCACTGTGGCATGTTTTCTGCTGAGGATGCTGAGTCTTTGTGTTTTGTGCAAGAGCCAGGGAGAGGGATGATGCAAACCTGCCTGACCTGGGCTACCAGAAGCACAAGAAATTTGATTTACAAAGGGAACCTCCCTGCCCTCGGCCCATTGGTAGAAGAAAATGAATGATGAAGCAATTCGCAACCTCAGAAAGTTTAGGATATGATGAACACCTTTAGCCGGTTTCTGACTGTGCAAGTGGTAGTTGCTTGATGAGATATGTTATTTCAGCACTGCAGAGCAGAATTACCAACAGGTTTTGACACCTACCATAACTAAATTTTATGTGAAGGGAGACATAAATCTTGTGCCTGGGCATCCCGTGCACATGGAAACATGGTCAGTGAGGTACTGAGATCAGTAGCACAGGCCAAGATCCCTTTTCTCCTAAGAATGACTTTGGAATGAATTTGAAAGTGAAGGAAACATAAGACGTGACTGAAGAAGAGCTGCTCTGCTAGAACAGCCATTCGAACATGTACATTATATTTGGCTGGGGAAACATGATTGCAGACTTTATATTCAAGGTAGCTTAAGGTATGCTGGTTCACATTGCTTGTCCTGGTGATTTTTGGCTATGATGTTTCGCTTTGCATTTGCAGTAGGCTAGTGATATAAGTTAGTCACAACAATAAGTTGTTAAATTGTGGTTGCTGTTAATAATAATTCTGTGCTCTTTCAGAGGGTTGTAAATCATCTTAGATTGTGGTCTTTTTTTAATCTCTTCAGCTAGATTACTATTGCATCTCTAGCACTGGAACATTTTACTGGGAGTTAACAAACAGTTATTTCACAGTTGGTTTTTTTTTTAAATATTGTTGGAGTGCTGTGTGTTTTCTAGTCTGATCAAAGCCAGATTTGTATGAATACACACAATCCTTTAGTGAGGGGTGAGAGCAGTTGCTTGGAAAGGCAGAGTAGGCAACTAAACAGCAGGTCTGTGGGTATCTCATGAGGCTGAACATTTACTGATCTGTGATGGTCTTTCTCTTCCTATCCCTTGGAAGACCTCATAGGTTTTGCTTTTATTCTGGTGACAAAACAGAAAATATCTGAAGCCATTAAAATTTTGCAAGGTGGAAAGACAGTCCTCCCAGCCAGCTATAGTTAAGAGTTGAACTTTTTCAGAGGTGATGAATTTGTTTTCTGTGGGTGACCGGCAAGCATTCTCCCCAGTGTAGATGACAGCCTGAAATGCCATGTTGCACATGAAGAGGTGGAGAACTGTTCAGAGTGCCTCTCTGTGCTGGTAGGAGCACAGGATAGCCCTGAGGCAGGTCTGTTCAACTCGTGGAGGTCCTCAGAAAGCAAAGGCTCTGAGCTGCAGCCCTTCAAAGTATGCAGAGCTCACTGTGCACCTACCCACACAATTAGATATACTCAGTGCAGTAGGGGGGCTGTTGCAGCCTGCTACTATGGCCAGGCTACTCACAGTACTTGCTATTACTGATTTAAAGGTGGCTTGATGTGTAAACATTGATTTAAATTACAGTGGTGACTTTCCATGGATACAGAAACCTGAAGGTGGACTAATTGATTGCTCATATTTTTTTTATTAGTATGGATCACCTCTTGCCTTTCCTTGCTCCTCTTCTTTAAGAAGAATTTAAATATTCAAGGATGTTTAAAATCCATTGTGGGTTAAATAATAAGCCATTTTCTAATCCTTGTATTTGGATTTTGTACTAGCTAATGCAGAAATCAAGTGGATGTGACCACCGCTCCAGGTTTGAATTTCTAAATCTCTCTGAAAGCTTGAGGCTAAGGCTGGGGAACCTGTAGCCTAAGGAGCACTCATGGATCACATTGTCTATTTGAGTGTCCACGAGATCCAACAATCTTATTAAGGCTTTCATGTTTGATCACTTGATTTACAACAACAACTAAGAATTTTCTTCATAAATGAATTCTGAGCAAATTGGCAGCATCTACTCTACCTCATTCTTTGCAATAGTGCAGGGAGTGCTACAGCTTTGTTCTGTCTCGTAATAAGATGGTTTGACAGGAAAACACCAGGTCTGATTTTAACAGGATTTTATGAAGGTGTATTCCTAGAGCTGATTTTATTTTGTTGTATCTCATTCTTTCTGTCTCTCCTGAGCTTTAGCTGGGCTTTAGCCCTTGAATTTTATTACCTTCAAAATTTCATGTCTGTGCAGCTCACTGGCAAGAAACAGAGGTCATTGCAATGGCTTTAATAGGAGTGTATTTTTTCATCTTTAGTTTTATGTAGGCTTCATTTATAAATTCTTTTAAAATGCTGTCCTTAAAACATGAACAGGTCTGATTATTCTGGTAAGAACTGTGCACACTGAAGATATGGGTCAATGATTGGCATTATATTGTATTTAACAAGCTAAGAAATATTAACAATTTGAGGACTTGAAACCAAAGCTATTGGGAATCCTGTCCAGCAGTATTTTTAGGGAAAATCTTATCCATAACTAAAAGGGAATGATCTCATCACATCTCTCAAGGATCCAAGCAAACTAGTTTGCTTTTTTTTTTTGTTTCATTTTTTTTCTTTTGAAGAGAAAAGGGATTGGAGGGAACAAGTGGCATTTGCTCATCACTAGTGTATTCTTTGACTAAAAGAGTTAGAGGTCAGCAGTATGGTCCCTGAGTGCTCACATGAGCACAGGTGGGGAATATCGGAGAGGTGCAGCATGGCAGGTTCTTCAAGGTGCTAGAGATATCCTGGGAAATAAGTGCCTTCAAATCTTAGCTCCAGTAGTGAGTTCCTAATGCTGAATGGAGAAGCCTAAACCCGGATCATTCTCAGAATCTAGACTCTAGTGATACCACCCAGCTGGACCTCTGCCTCCTGTGAAAGGCAACACTGGAAAGAGGACTGGTGAGCTGCTGGAAGGCACAGGGGCTAGAGAGTGAGCAGCTGCTGCCCATTCACAAGAGTGTTCTGCTTTTGGAGGGCAGCACCACCACCTCTTTAGTACCCTGCATCTCCCCAGCTAGTACTGGCAGAGAAGAATGATGTGGTATTGACACCTCATTAAGCTCCATGTGGAAGCGGTTTGGTTTTGCCATGGCTGATGTTAATTAGTCCCAGTGGCCCTCCCCTGGGACTCCTCTGTTGCACTTTGTTCATCCTTTGTGTGGGGCATGCTTCCTAGCTCAGGCACAGCACCACACAGAGACAATCTGTACTGGGCCTTTGCTTATTTGAAACCCAGAGCACTGAGGAGAAGGCACTCCTAAATTTTTCAAGGCTTTTAGCTCTGTCTGAGCATACAACAGGAGGGAATTGTGATGGTTCCAGCTATGCCACTCTCTCCAGTGGTCCCAGCAATAGCAAGGTAATTCTTTGCACGACCTGTTTGGGCCTTAAAAAACCAGGTGAGGTCTGACAGGGTCTGCTAGCCGTGTTTCTAGCTCGTGCTGTGTTGTACCTGAGCTGGCGGATTTCTCTGAAACTAAGCTGCCTCTGCATTTAGCTATAGTTATGTGTAGCTGCAGCTGTGTCACGGCTGGTTTACAACTTGGATAAAATGGCTCGAGGCAGCTGAGAGTGGACTGCTGAGATTCAGATGCAGTTTTCCTTCTATTTTACTTCCATAACATAATGTGAGGAATGCAAGGAATACAGAGTGATGGCAGTTTAAAAAAGCTAGTTTGGCTTTCAGGCAGCAAGGAGGTTGATCCTATAGTGTGAGGGATCTATATAATGCAACTATTCAAATGGTAGTAGGACATTTGGCATTCTGTGTCATTTACGAGACTGAGGTTGTGTGCATTTGACATACAACAGGGTAGTTCTCTGCTGCTTGCTTTCAGCAGCAGCAGCAGATGTGGCAAAAGTGAATGCCAGCGGTCTTGCTCTTGGGATCCTGCCACATTCTCCTTTAGACCCTGATTTCACAATGTACCAGCACCGGAGGCTGAGCCACTTGAAAGAATTCCTGACTTTCTGCCCTGTATGCTGGTTCCCACCCTCACCCCATGATTCCCTGTCCCCTTGGTTTGCTGAGGTTGGCTGTTTGTGAGGAAGAGCAACAAACAGTATCTGACAGCTGGCTTTAAAACAGTCTCCTTAAAAATAAAAAAATAAATAAAAAATCCTTGGGGATCGAAAAAAGTGCGAACTACTTCTCCAGAAAATACATGTGGAACCTCATCCTTAATTAAACAAATGCTGTGATTAAAACAAATGCTGAGACAGGCAGTAAGTTCCTACATTTTCTGATGTATAAAAAAAAGTAATTTCTTTTTTTCAGCATTGCTTGAGAAACCCATCAGCAAAAGACGAGACAGTGAAGCTGTACAGAAGGCCAAGATCCTTTATGCATCCTGCATGAATGAGAGTAAGTTGCCTGATTTGAGGGGGATGGTTTTCTACACATTTCTGAAGTTGGCTATCTAGACTGTGGTACGCCAAGGCAACAGAAGCCAGTTTTACAGATACCTCTGCTTGTCAGGCAACTGTGAATGGATATTTATCAGTGCAAAAGGTTGCCAAAGCTGTGCCGCAAGGGCATGGGAGTAGTGTTTGGTAAATCAGAGGAGCCCTCTGATTAAATTCTCACACTGGTGCTTTCAAGAGCCAGTTGCTCAGCACCTTCTGCTTTTCTCTAAATCCATTACATCAAAGCACTTCCACAGCCATGGACTCTTTAGCTTCAAGTTATCTGGATGTCAAGCAAATTTGGATGGGGAGCCAAATTTGTGGGTGCTTTTCCTGAGCTTGTAAATGATGCTGTAAGGTGATGTACACTAGGTTGGGCCATATCACTACCTTTGTGTAGCTGCATGGGTGAAAAATTAGTTGGGAGGGGGTGGACTTTGTCCTTCAAACTGCCCTTTGTCCTTCTGAATCTTTCAGACTTTATTTCCTGAGCAGTTTTCTTCCAGCACAGCCTGAGACTGACTGTCAGCAATTGATACAGTCTGCCCCGCAGCCTCGGTGCTGAGATGCTGACCCCTCTAGCTTTGATTATGTACAATAACCCCCTCTCAGAACCAGTGACATTTCCATGCTAGTTCCTAAGTGAATAAGGGTTTTTAATTTACTTAATTCCAGCCCTTTCCCTTTTTTGAAAGGCACTGATTTGTTCTTGATTCAGAGAAACTGGGTTAGATTCCTGTGCTTCTGTGCACACAGGCAGAGAAGAGGCTTTGGGTTTCAGCTGTTCAGTTCTGTCTTGCCTAGAAATCAATACTGATAAATCTTTGTGTCTGATGTGGCTGCTGCTGCATTTGAGGTGTCTGGAATGTAATTGTTGTCACACTTTGTTACAGATAAAATTGAAAAAGCTGATGTGAAACCCCTCTTAAGTATACTGAGGCATTCACCTTTCCGCTGGCCTGTGCTGGAATCCAACATTGGGCCCGAAGGGCTGTGGTCAGAAAGGAGATTTAGCTTAGTCCAAGCCTTGGCAACTCTTCGTGGTCAATACAGTAACTCTGTCTTCATCCGTTTATATGTGGCTGCTGATGACAAAATCTCCAATCAGTATATCCTAAAGGTACAATACAGCATATCTAATAGGTTACTTTGCATGGTATTTTGTGGTATCATTTTTTTTTAAAAGACATGTTTACATGCCAAATGTTTACACTTGATTATGGGTGCTATTATCTACTGACTTACCGATGTACATAGATGCCAATTTATGGGAATGTAGAAGCCACTAGGAACCACGTGCTATTGAAAAATATTTTTGTACAGGATATTTGCTCCTTTCAAATGCCAAAAAAAGGTAAAATATATTTCCCAGCAGACCAATGTCCAGGGTCTATGTGCATGAAAATGAAAGAGGTGGATATCTAGCCCTGGAGGTGTTCTGGGTGCTGCTTATGACTCATCAGTTGCATGAAGAATGTGTTTTTTGTCTGTGAAGATGAAAAATGGTGCATCAGTAGCAGATATTTTGAACTTGAGCTATTTTTCTTGGGATGGAAACACATTATCTTGTGCTTATATAGCACCTTACAGCACAATTGTATCCCTGACACTTCTAAACCTGGAATACAGAATTTACCTTTTACTGAAATGTTATTGCTTTTGGACCAAAGAATTACTAGTTTGTTAGCAGTGCCTGGCATTACACAACAGTTTAGATCAGTGAGAAAAAGACCCAAGAAATGTTGCCTCATTGTAGTCTGACAAAACTCCAGAGAGAATTGTAACTATTACTGTGAGATGTCACCATGGCAAGACTGAGTGCCTGGGCCAAATGCATTGTTTTTTAAGAAGTAGAGATGAGTAGCCAGAGTAGACCAGCCATCCACTGCTACAAGAAAATAGTTTATGAAGACAAGTGAGAAGGGACAAAGAAGAAAGTTATGATGCCATTCATCACAGCAAAATAGGATCTGTGATCCTTACATAGCTAGCATCTTGGCTAGCTGTAGGAATATAGCCAAGAACACATGGTATTTGGGGATCAAACAGCTGCTAACTGGAATGGATGTTGATTCTGAGTCAGTTCTTTAAGACGTCCTTTGACTGAGGCATTTAACTGGTATGAAATTAAAGGGTAACTTTTCCCTGTCTCTAGGATGTTTTCCTGAATAGTCAAGCCAACAGCAGATCAACAGTTTGCTGTATTAAACATGTCATTTACTAAGATGCTGTTCAGATCCTGTCAGGATTGCTTCAGCTGGAGATTTGTTTAAAAGAACTGAAACAGCAGAACCAGGAGAGATATTTGGTTATTTCCTGTCATAATATTTCAGTTCAGGTCACCTGCCAGTGGAGGGCTGGGCAGATGTACCCTTATTGCTGGTCTCTTAGAAATGAAGTATACCTAGCAGTATCTTCACTCAGTATGCTTAGTGGGACCCAATAATTATGCATCTAAATAGCTGAAGCGCTACATGCTATACATATTATTCTGTTGTTGTTAATTTGATTAAGAACTTGATCTACAGAATGCATCAGCCAGTCTTCTACTTTGTCTGTGTTTTAACAAATTCCCAGGGGTGCAGATGTATTACAAAGTATTTCAATCTTCTTGTGAAAATGGCTCTATTGCAAAATCCTTTTTGTTCAGCATTGCAAAATCATGAATGGATCAGAAAATAGTAGTAACTCCAAATAAAGCTCTGTTCAACATTCAACATGATTTTTTTTCTTGAGGGATGAAGAAGTTCGTTAACTTTTTTATTTATTTCTCATATTTGCACTTTCTTGGTTTCAATGGGTTGTCAAATCTAACTCTTAAGCCAGGAAATTTGGATGAGCGTTTCATACAACAGTCACATAACTGAAATAGACCAAATCATCTGAAGTTAACTATTACCAGGACACACATATGCAAAGCATAGGAGTACATTCTTTTTGCTTCAATATGCTGAAAAAAAGGTGATACTGTTTTCCAAAGAATCAGAGTTGCACTGGGTATCACAGCTACACTTCTTTTAGTGTCTGATTTGTTTTGTTTATGGTATATTTTAAAGGTTGAGAACATCGGTCAGTAGATGATTTATTAATTCATTCGAGAGTCTAGTTTATTTAGGTCATTTTTATAAATGTAGAAAATGTGAAATATATAGATGGTGTAGGATTTAGATTAAAAAAGGCTTGTGTGAAATTTTATAAATAAATACAATCTCCACGAGATTTATCTTTTAAAAAACAAATACAGCATCGAAATAATAATTTTAGAACATCAAAACTGCTGTTTCTGCTCCCATCAGTATCTTATTCAGAGTTTGGGAGCTGATTGAATTATATTTTCAGCTTTGGCTTCCATACCCTAATTTAACCTTATCGTGTTGAAGTCTTTTGGGAAATCTTGGTTTCCAGTAGTAATTTTATATCTGCTGTGCTGTGATTTTTACCTCGTTCGGAACTTGAAACAGTATGTAAATACTCCCATGTAGTCATTTCACTCAAAAGACTAAATGCAAATTTCAATGAATTTTCAGGACTGGTTTAGAAATTGCCTTGAGGACCTTATTCCAATATTAGAGTGACTGTAGACCAACAAATGTGATCCACATTTAGATCAAAAAGATCTAAAAAAAGTCCAAGATCCATCTGGATCTACTAGAAATCTTCAGCTAATGTACTGGAGGCATAACAATTTCCCGTGCGTGCATGCAATCATTTCTGTGGCTGGGATCCAGCTTTTTCAGTACATCTATTCAAAAAGCCAAGTCTGGCACTCAGTGCTGGTCTAGGGTGAAGCTCGAGTGTAACCTCAGTTTCAGTCAAAGAAACCTAACAATGCTTTTCAGGCACACAGCAGCTAGTGTTACTCCAGCACCTAATGGGCATTTGGTCCCTGCACTAGATTGGTGTTTGTCTCAACCCGACTGTTGTGCCCCTGAAACATGTATAGCCTCAGAACACACTGATCCTATAGACCCAGTCCTATTACATTACCTACTCACTAAATGAGGCCATAAACACGCGAGTCATGTGGGTGATTTTTTGCTGCAGTAGGTGGCTCAGATATTGCAGGGGGCATATGGGGCTCCCCAGATCATGGTAATATGATTAACGTCTGTTGGCACAGCATAGCTTTTTTTCTGTTGATTTTAAATCCTGTGGAACTCAGGCAGCTGCAATTTTATTATGCGTTAGATATTTACACACTTTTACTATAATTGCCAGAAAAACATGAACTCTTCCAATGTTGCTTATAGGACTACCTTTGAATTCTGATAAATTTGCCTATTAAATGCTTTTTCTTGTTATTTTTAACAGCTCGATCAAGCAAGCCTCTCCCTTTCATCTCGAGAGGATTACCTAGAAAACACCACAGAAGCTAAATCTGTAAGTATTATTAACTGGAACTCAAAGGGACCGTTTTTTCCCCTCAGTTTTTTCCATTGTTGCTTTTGGTTTTTTCGGGCTCCAAATTGAGAAAGGGTTGCAGCTTGTTTTGTTTTAGATTTTTTAGGATATCTTCTATCAGAAAACACCAGCACCACAAGCACCACTAGCACAAACTCTCTTGCAAAGTTTCTCAAATGATGATTTTTGTAAGATTTCGGTCCCCTCCTGCTTTTCTTCCCTCTCGGAAGGGGCCTTTAGAGTTCATCTAGTCCAACCCCAGTGCTCAAGCAGGGTCAGCTACAGCAGGTTGCCCAGGACAGTGTCCAGTCAGGTTTTTAGTATCTCCACAGATGAAGACTCCACGACCTCTTGGGGGAGGGGAGTGGAGGCTGCAGTAATAAGTTTCTTACCACTGTCGCTTGCTTGTTCCTTCTAGTGGGCCTGAGGGGGGCTCAGGCTTGGCCACAGGAGGTGCTCCAATTGATAGTGCTCCTGGGTCCTCATCATCTACAAGGACAGTGGACCTCCAGCCTTCACTGTGATGGGGGTTTTCACTTTGCGGCTTCATGGGCACAGGCTCCTCCTGCTCTTCTGCTGCAGTTGAAGGTCCAAGCTTTTCAAGCTGCAGGGGTCTCATGGAACACCTGGCTGATCTTTCTCATCCCCTCTGAGGCTGTGTGGTCTGCTGACCTCTCTCAGCTCTTTCATTTGGCAGCACAGCTCCTCAGTAACTGCACACCTTCTGCGTGCTAGAAGACCACGGTGTCCCATCCTCAGTGAGATGCACTCCCTGCATCCTGAGACTTGCAGAGCTGCATCCTTCCTTATGAAGCACCATCTGGGTCCAAGAGTCCAATATCAAAGGGGTAGTTACACCAGAGGTGCCTGGAGATCATGTCCTATGGCATGTGACCATGGATGGGTGTGCCAGACAAAGTTTGGCTTTTTCTCTGTGAACTGTAGCATCTATTGACAGGCTCTGGGAGCTGTGCTCTGAGCCTGGCTCTAACTTAGGCCTCTCTCTGCCACAGGATCAAAGGGTTCTTGACCCTCCCTAGTCTCTCTTCACTGAGAGGATGATTAGGCACTGGAACAGCTTCCCCAGGGAAGTGGTCACAACACTGAGCCTGTCAGAGTTCAAGGAGTATCTGGATGACACTCTTAGTCCTATGGTTTAGTTTTAGGTAGTCCTGCGAGGAGAAGGGAGTTGGACTCGATGATCCTTATGGGTCCCTTCCAACTTGAGATATTCTGGGGTTCTCTAGTCGGGAGTCAGCTAGAAGAGAGGCTGTGGGCACCCTTTGATCAAGCACAGCTGTCAGTTTGTTAGAAGCTGCTGGAGCTATCTTCACCTTAGCCTTCGCCTGACCTGACAGCAGTGGGAACCCTCATGTCCCCCGGGGGGCCCCAGGAGTTCCCAGATCCTCAAGAACATTTCAACAAAGTGGATCCCAGCAACTGCTGTGTCTGTGGGCTGCCTCTTGGGCTCAATTAGGCCAGAAGGGTGAGTGTGTTTCAAGAGCTGCTGCAGATTATCATCAAGTTGATCTGAATTCATGCAATGAAGGGAACAAGAGTTCCTCAACAGATTTAAAGTATTAATTTCCTCTTTCTTCCTCCTCTTGTTATGATTTCTCTTCTACAGGTTAGTTTCTTGCTGCTTTTCTGTGGACAGCAGTTGTGAACCAATGATGTTTATCAAAGGCTTTAATGTACCAATATCTGACAATGGCAACACCCCCCCCGCCCCCACTTGACAGAGGCCTGTGGGCAGTTTTCAGCACAGGCAGCCCAGAGCTCAAGGAAAACTACCCCGTGGGTTGTCAGGGAGGACAAGTCATTGCTGCTGATTAAGGTTTTACCGTTCTCCTTCCCTTTTGAGTTCCCTGAGAGGTCAGAGAGGTCAGTAAGTCTTTCAGCCACATTTATCAGACTAGATGATGCCAGGATGCAAAGAATTGTAGCTTTGCAAAGATTAAAGGTAGAAATGTGTTGGGATATGTTTTTGCTTTTGTTGGACTGTGGGCTGGTAGGAGTTGATGAAGAGCAATCTGATCCCTCCAAAATCTCTGAAAGATTATGCTGGGGTGAAGGTAGCACAGAAATTGCTACAGTATCATTATATACAGTGTATTTTACTAACATTTGTATATACACACTGAGACTAAAATGTGCTTTGTTAGGATAGCCCGGGGAGGGCAGAGCAGAGCACTGTAGCAGGCACGTGTGCTGCAGTGCTGTGTCAGGAGTAGAGGAGAGAGCTCAGTGGAGCATCCCTTGGTCTCCCTGTCTTCTCAGCCGCTAACCTTGCACTTGTATGTAAGTACTTCTTCAGTCTGACACTGATTTCTGTATGAGTTTGTGTAAAATATTGGTGTACGCTCATACACACTGTCTAATCCCACTGTAAGAGTTGTCAGTGTTGTCAGTCTAATCCACAAGTGTTATTTGCACTTCCTGAGATTTATGCTCTGTGAACCCCAACAGGTATCTCTGTCTGTCATGCACAGTATGTTTACAGTGTCATTTCTCCTTTTCTCCCTGATGATAGCAGGCATTCAATGTAAGGAAAGTACAGCTTTGATTGCAAGGGCACAAAATTACAAAGTAAAATACTTCTTGCTCTAGCTGGACATTTCTGACCTACTGCTACATCTGTGCTCAAGGGCAAATCCTGTGGTCATTGCACTCTTTTTTTTCTTTTCTTCACAGTACCGAGATGCCTTTTTGCAGTTCATGGTTGATACAGCAGTTCTTCTGGGTGCAAACGCTTCACGAGCTGAATCTGATATGAAGTCGGTTCTAAGACTGGAAGTTAAGATAGCTGAGGTTGGTATTTTAGTGTGGGATTGAAGCTAGCTTTAAAAAAAAAAAAGTGAAATCCTGTTTCAAAATAGAAAGCCATTCTATCAACAGCCTTAGCAATAGTGCTTTTTGGAAGTAGAAGGAAAGGAGCAGAACCTGTTGAAGAAAGGAGGAATGATCTTCCTCCATTAGTTAATTGTTAAATGGATTATTCTCAGAAGGGAAAAAAAACTTCAGCCAAATACCCTTGGTTCTTTAAATTATTAATATTTCTTCGTTTTGAGCTTGCGCAGAATTTGAGTCCCTGCTGTGCTGCTATGTTGTGAATACATTACTATCTATTCAAGAAGCAGAACAGGCTGGTTCTCTGAGGAACAGTCTCGAAGCAGTGCAAGACTGAGATGGGGTGTTGATGCTTGGTAGTGAGAGAGCAGCGGTTATAGTTGCACCACAGTTAGCTCCTGAGCTGCTTTCATTGGCTGCCCTGGGAGAGGGGATGAGAAACTCTGAGTTTTCATTTAGGGGACCAGCTGGACCTAGCAAAACTACCTACCTACCAAAACAATTCTGTGATTCTGTGACTCAAAAAACAGGAAGTCTTTCTTCTGTTTATTGGTGATGTGATAAGAAAATGCATTGCTACCTCTGGTAGCTTTAATGCTTTACTTAATGTCTTACAGAGCTTTAATCCACAAAGTACATACGTGAAGTTGCCATATAAGATGACATGGATCACGTAACAGCCTTCAGGATCAGTAATGCATACTGTTACGCAGCAAGCCATACTTGCTCATGATTACTTAATTTCCCTTTAGTATGAATAATCCTTGTAAAATCTATCCAGATATTAGGCACAAATCCAGGGACATGGGTTGTTGCATGATTCTTAATGAGCACAATGAGTTATATAAGCATCTTACTGTAATTTCAAAGGAGATAGTCCTGCTTGTTATTTGGGCTTTTACTGTATCCTGTATTCCTCTGTATTCATTTAACGTGAACGTACATAATGGAGAACTTGTGTGCTCAGGAAGAGAGACAGCAAGACTAAAGGGAAGATACAGTGGATATAGGAAGGAGTGGCATGCTTCAAGAGAGCTTGTTATGGAAGGAAGGTTCAAACCTACTTGAAATTACTAGAGGAAGAGGGAAAGTTTTGAGAGGAAGGGAGCAAATGGGTTCAAGAAGAGTTTAAAGATTTGTCAGATAAATGAAATTTGCAGAAGGGGAGAAGAAAGTAATTTTTGTGTGTGTGTGGTTTGAGCAATAGTAAAACCGCAGACACTCACTGGAGAATTTTGGTTGGAGAACTGCCAGCTGTCTGGTTTGTCTGGCGAAAATGTCTGTCCTCTTTAAACTGCACAGTGTACAGCCTGTTGTATAGGATTTATCTTAGGACGTGTCTGGAATTGCCATCGGGAGTTCTTGTTTCTCTTGAACACTGAGAAAATTTTGAGCCATATATTCTGCTTAGTTTGTTTTTCTGTTATGAACCACGCTGACATCTTGGAACCTGAATGTCCCTTGTCAGTTATAAAAGGACTTGCTTTATATTTAGGATTTCTTTTGCTACGTTCTTGTACTTTGACACTACATATGTTTGTGAGGTCTGGCTCCTCTGGTCACCCGAATGAGAGGCCTGGGTGGAGAATGCTTTAATTCATGTCTGGCCTATGTACCCCTGTTTCCTGCTGTGGAAATCAGGATGATGGGCTAAAGTAAGGAGAAACCTGTGTGTATCTAGCTCTTCCCTCAGATGGATTCAGGCTATAGAAAGAACATTTTCAAATCCAAGAGATGAGATGTGCTTCTAGCGTGCCTATCTCAGATGTGACCTTTTAAACTTTATAGTTTGGAGCTGGCTTCTGCCTGACATTATGGGATGAATAAGTATTAATGGTCTAGGTGTGCTTTTATCTCTTATGAATCAGCATACATTTCCTTAATATGATCAGCTAGAATGGGTCTCATATGTTCAAAGAAGACATGCAGTTCAACCAATTCCCCAGTAATGAGTTAAACTGACAATGAACTGTGTTCCATTTCTCGTAGTTAAATGCCATCCTCAGAAAGGGGTGCTAAGGCCATGAATGCTTGGAAAACATGGTGGTGACATATTTCTGCACTGGGATTATGATGGACAGTAATGATGTAAGAGCAGGTCCCTGCAAGATAACCCTTGTTTTGATGTTTTGTGTATTGCTTTTTTTTTTTTCTTTTCCCCCAGATCATGATTCCATATGAAAACCGAACAAGCGAGGTCATGTACAATAAAATGAACATATCGGAGCTTAGTGCCATGATTCCACAGGTTTGTTGGGGATAACTGCAAAATTATTCTCTTAACGTCTGACCTATATAATTAAAATTGCCTTTAGTATGCAGAGCAGCATGTTAAAGGATTGTCCTTAGGAAAGTGTATTCAATCACAATATATGTTCTTTTAAATACCGTTATGACTTTACTGCAGTTTGGAAATGTGTAATGACAAAGTGCAATAGTTTCTAAATTTTTAATAAGTAAAGCTTTGAAACCATTAGTCTCAAAGGTGCAACTTCATTAATAAGTCATGTCTCTTCATAATCTGCTTTACCAGTCTTCTCTTTGTCGTTGCAGTTTGACTGGCTGGGATACATCAAGAAGGTGATTGACAGCAAACTCTATCCTGAGCTCAAAGATATAGGTCCTTCAGAAAATGTGATTGTCCGTGTTCCCCAGTACTTCAAAGATTTATTCAAGATACTAGAAAATGAAAGGAAAAAGTAAGGATCCTATGATGGTTACACACACAGGGGACATCAACTCTCTGGGTTTTTCAGTTGCTTCAGATACTCTTGTAATCAAGTCTCTAGGCAAAAGGTCTGCTTGGTTTTGTCTGAATGAGGATATAGATATTAGCTTGTGTGTAGCAGGAAAATTTGCAGTTTCAACACCTTTCTTTTTTTACTGATAACACAGGTTGCAGTGAAGCTGCTTTTTACAGATGCTTTCAGCATCTCTTACTTGTATAAGGTCCTCTGTCTCGCAAAATCATTAACACCTGTAGAAGATAGTTGTCAAATGCTCAGATTAAACATGGTAGATGTGCTTTGCACAGGGAAGCAAGACAACTTTGGGCAGTGTGATGAAAAAATGTATGTGAAGATGACATCCCATTTTGAAACACCATTTTTGATTACATTAAGTGATTTCTGTGATACTTTGTTCTCTGCTGAGACATGTTGCTGAACTTTTAAAAAAAATGTTAGGCTGTTGTCTCCAAAAGTCCTTCTTTGCTGATTGTACAGTATGGCCACAACTAAATTTACATTTCAGGAAAAAAAAAAAAAAGACTAATTTAGAAGCATTATTCTTGTACTGTTGCTCTATGTCTCCAGTGACAGAATGCTTGCATTAATTCATAGTACCCGTGGCAGATCAAACAATAAGAAAATTAAAAATGATTGATCTGTCTACAGATCATCAAACATCCTTAGTTTATAAGATTTATACAAATGTTGTCAGTGTGCCGCCAATTTTAATCTGCTGAAGAAAGCCTTCTAAATGGTTTGGACTGTCCATGCTTTGTGTCTCGTAAAGTTAGTTATGTCAGAGGGGATCAAGTGGTGATTTAGAGGATGCACATGTAGCAAGACAACAGTGAACTAGTTATTCCCTGTGTACAAATATACTTATAGGCAATATATGCTGTAACTACAGTGTAAGTACCTGAAGGCTTCTTTCATTAGGGTCTTATTCAGGGAAAATCTGTCTCTGAGTGTTCAAGAGAAGTTAAGCCAGCCTGTGTGTCATGGCAGAGGGAGCCTGGAGTAACGACCAAAAAGAGTGGCAATGCCCATCTTCAGCAAAGCTCGAGACCAGCTCTCTGATCTCCACAGGTTGAGGAGTTGAGCAAAAGCAGTGTCTCATTTCCAGTATATTCAGGCTACATGTCTTATAGCTGATAATGGCTTAGGCATTTTCTGCTCAGTCTTACCCTAAGAAATTTGCATCATAAAATCATAGAAATGGCAAATAGAGTGCTAAACTCAACCCAAGCAAACTTCAAGTTCTTGTACATAAAATCCATCCAAACGGTCACAGCATGACAAAGATTGTGTTTATCTTAGATGATACTGTTCGTTACTTAAAATGTCACAGTTTGCTCCAGAAGTACCCTTGTTATCTGGCCTGAGAAAATTAGGAAATAATCTGAATGTGAACTCCTAACTAGGAAGTCTTAACATTTCTCTGTAGGGTGAACTCTAAAAGTTTAACAAGAATATTTTCCTTTAGGTAATCTCATTTGTCATTCTTCATATGATATTTTAAAGGTTAAATTAATGCAAACAATGTGGACTTGGTTTGTTACAGTAAATATGTAGACCAATCAAATTCCTAGTGAAGCATTCAAAAATTTTAGACTTGCTTCAGTGATTAGAATGTGAATTAACTTCCCATCATTTCAGGAGATGCAGTGTCACTAGGAGAAGAAGAATGAATACATTCACCAGTTTCATATTCTTTTCAGTTGCAAACCTTCTATCCCTAAATTATACTGTTATTCCAATGCCTTGTGTGTCCCCTTCTCAGATGAGCACCTTGCTGGCATGGATGCTATTCAAAATGGCACAAAAAGACGGTTCATGCCCCAGTGATCTGGCAAAGTACTCTGTGAAGTTTGTTTCAGGTGGAGGGAAGAGTGGAGCAAAAATTAAGTCTGGCTGCAGATAGTAGTTCTTGGTGAAGGAGGTGATGAGTCCTATGGACTCTTAATCATCATATTAAAAATTGCTTCCTTGGAGAATCTGCTGAACAATCTTGAATTGTGAAATCATTCACATGGTTACTAGAAAATAGCACATTGGCAGGGTGTAGAGTGAATTTAGTAGACTGAGGCTGTTATTTACTTGACAACCCTGCTACATATACCTTCACATTTACCCTGTGAAGCTTGAAGCATGTCCAGCAGTGTGGTTCAGAGGTCTGTCTGAAATTGACTAGCCTGTAGGAGTTTCCATCAGCCCTGGGCTAGCTAACATAATTCATGTTAGGTGTTCAGTGCTAAAGTCACACCTTCTTCCTAAGAAGTCTTCAGGGATCCCTTCAGTCTTTTAGTGTACCAACTGATTTATAAGGGAGTTTATATCTACTACGGGAAGAAGTAGATGTAGCTGTGGTGTAAAGGAGCTCTGCCATTATCTCAAACACAGCTGTACCATATGAGGGGGAGATGGGACTGTGCTGGCAGCAGTTAGCAGCCCTTTATATCCCTTCCCTGTTACCTGTGTGCTAGTGCTTTATGGATGAGCTGTAAATAGGATACAGTAAATTGTGTCTTCTTTGGAAACCTTTGCAGCTGTTGAAGAAAGAAGCTTTATCTTCCTCATGGATGTCAGAATGAATGACTGGTTTCCTATGCCTCACCCTACCCCATCTTTGCAGTATGAGACAATTAATAAAGAAGTACTCTGTAATTCCTGCAGCATAAGAGGAAATGGATGTCAGAATGAATGACTGGTTTCCTATGCCTCACCCTACCCCATCTTTGCAGTATGAGACAATAAACAAGTACTCTGTAATTCCTGCAGCGTAAGAGGAATTTTCTTTAGAGAGGGATGGGGGCACTATATCTCCTTTCTGGTCTTAGCCTGCCTCTGAACAATCAGAGAGAGAAGTTATAACATTTTGACTTGAACTCGTGCCTCTAGCAATAGACACAGAAGTTTTTCAGTACTTATAATTTGATTCATGACTCAATTATGAATATAATGTTCAAACATCTCAAAATTTGTTGAAAGGGATCTTTTTCTTAAAATGTCAATTAATTTGTCCATCTATCTCATATTAAATCTATCCTCTTTAATTGCCACCATGTCTTTTGATTTAAATATTACAAACTCACTAAATTTTACATGAGCAACCTACTTTATTCCCAGACAGGGTAAAGCATTCCTTAGTAGATATTCATAACTGCTGGTGTAATTTTAACTATCCCAGCAAACAAGCTCTCTACCACTTCCTTTGGGAGTGTGTATCACAATAATGGTCATATTGGTTTAGAGCCTACACTTCTTTCTGTAACAGTAATTTTGAACTTAAAATAGGGGACTATGTACTGAACTCTTTCAAAAGGTTACAACAACAAATGCTCTGGTCTTATCGAAAGAGCAAAGAGGATTTGTATGTTCTGTTGGTGTGTCGGATTTTACTTCATGTGAAGAGGTTAACTTCTCTGAGCTTATTTGTGAAAGTGGGATGAAAATCACCCCAAGATATGTACTGGAAGCATTTCATAACCAAAAACTGTCAGTTTTTAAACAAAATAAAGATGACCAATTGATTTTAAGTTTGTTAAATTAGCCAAAAAGGTAAAATTATCATCCTCCAAGTAAGTAAACAAATTCAGAGAAAATATTATTTTGTTTTGTTTTGAAAAATGAAGAACACTGCCCCTCAAACAACACAACCATTCAACCTCCCCCCCCCTGCCCCTCCCCGAGCAAATAAACACCTCTGAGCTTTGAAGCGAAACCTTCCTGTTCTTTTATGCATCATATGCATCAGTGGATTCTGTGATTACGATCAGGAATTATTACAATCTCATCAGACAGCTTGGTTTTGTCAGACACCTTTTCCTTCCCAAATGAAAACAAATCTGTTATTTGTGGGTTGTTTCCTGGAACTGACAGTTGCCTTCATTTGTTATGCCTGATAAAAAACTTTTGGAATTCCCCTTGATATTAGTGTCTTTTAATAAGTCACCTTTTTGAGACTCATCCTTTACAAATTTCAGTCTTTCATTTACTATCAGTTTGACAGAGGTTCTCGAACTCAAATATAAAGGCAAACACTGCCGGATGAGATTTTTTTGGTAGCAATGAGGTACTGAATTGTAACAAATAATTAGTTTATGATAGCAGTTTATTTAGCTGAGGTTTTTTACCTAAGACTTTTGATTGAAATTAAATCTTTAAACCTTTTAATCTGTAGGACTTGCGTAAATGCTGTTTTAGATCCACAGATTAGTTACTGCAGAAGCATGGATAGTATTCAGGTCTGCGGAAATACCTGAGGCAGATAGCTGTGGGGCTTGTGGAGTTCAAGTAGTTTACAAAACCAGTGAGAGATGAGCACTTTTAGGGTGCTTCAGTTGCCATTGAGTGAGGAAATCCTGCATTGCAAGAAATGTGTTAAGGGGAAAATCTATACTTTCTGGTATTTCATAGGTTCAAATGATTTTTTAATAACCCTAAGCAATATCTCAAATGGTTTGATCATCTAAGCAGAGCTAACTCTTTTGTCTTTTGTAACATGTACTGTGTTATAAATATACACTGTTCATGCTAAAAAGCTTCTTCAGGTATGTTTTATGATTATTGTGGGGATTTATGCGTACTATTTATCTGTATACTAAAAGAGGGATTATGCCCAAGGTTATGTGGCATGTCTTGAAGTTACACTGGGTTGCATGGGGTGAATTCAGACCTGAGTGCCTAGGAAAATAAATGAGAGAGACTTTACATTAATGCTTTGTGAAAGCCTCAATCCGCAGTGTAAGAGATGAGGAATACTCTGAAAAGCAGGACTTATAAATCACAGCAATTCTCTACTCCTCTCTAGAAGTTGCTACTGGCCACAAAGACCAGTATCAGGCGCCTGCCTTTGAGATGACAGATTGCACCCTCAAGTTTTTCTGAGTGAAATGAGTTGACCATATTTCTGACCTATAAACACATGCAGACTTAACAGATGAGAAGCAAAGGCTTTGCCCAGGCTGTCACAGATGCACAACTGCTGTCCAGGTTCATGTGAGTATGCGCATTTGTGCTAGCTTCAGTTCAGCAGAAGCAGCTGGCAGGGACATCCCAATCCATCAGGTCTGCAGAGCACCTGCCTTCCCTGGCCAGTCACCACTGTGCCTGAGCAGACTGGTCCCAGTTCACATCTCAGACAGCTTGTGGAGAGCACACAGCCACCCACCTGCTCGTGGTGTAGTGTCCCACCTGCATGTGTGCGGTCTGCTGGAGTTACTGGGTTATCCTGTGCTCAGTCACTAATAGACAATACACAGCTATAGGTTGCCTTAAACCTCTCCATTCTCACCTCTTCATCACCTCCCTGGATGAGTGCCCAAGAGTGTAAGCTTCTAGCAACAACATGCCTTGAGCAGGAGGCTTTGTGTGGGTGGACTGGAGCTTGGTTAGAGACAAAACTCAAGTTACAGCTCAGGCAAATGCTGCTGTGAAGGCAACACATCCACAAAGTGCATTTATAACCTGTTATGGTTTGGAGGAGGGGACAGTATGAGATGTATCCATGAATGAAGCTGATGGAGTGACACTGTAGCAACAGCTGCGCTGCTCTATACCTATAGCAACAGGAGGTTGCAGAAATTATATTTTTAGAGACAGGGGAGTTGTTCAGATGGTCCATAACAACATTTGCATATCCATATCTTTAGAGCAATGACTCTCCCTGAAAAAATGTCATCTATAAGATAAGGATAATGTGTTTTTGCCATTACTAGGCTTGTTGTGAGATTGTTTGAAGTTGAATCGCTTATTTCACCATGCACCTTTACCTCATACAGCCACTGCTGGGCATAGAGGGAGCTCAGTCTAGACTAGATAAATCCTCCAGTCAAGTGCTTGATGTTTTAGATGGTTCTCAGGTCTCCTGGGAAGCTTGAACAAGTTCTTCCTGAATCTGTCAGCCTCAGTTCTTATGAGATTCTTGTTACTGAGACTTCCCTTTTTTGGTATTTCAGTTATCCATCTGCAAACTGAAAGTGGTAATACTTAATAACTCTGTGGGTAGTAAGAACTCTTAAAGGCATATTGATACCTTCTAATGAAAGATACAAGTATGAGATAATGATAGTATGTATGGGATAGATAGTTATCTGTTCTGTTTCATACTTAGGATTTATGTGCCCTTCTAATGAGGGCAGATAATATTCACTTTAATTTACTAAAGAAAAATCAGTTATTTTCTTATCTCTGGATAGAACTTTTATGCAACTGTTAGTATGACACAGCTCTTGCCACCTCTATGGAAAATGAAACCTGCCTTTTGGAAAAAGCAATACCTAAAAATGACATTCTAGGAGGTAGACTCATTATAAATATCATCTAGAAGATGGTTATCATGGTGCAGTTACATATTAACTGGCTGCAGTCAGATTCTTCTGTGTAATAGGAATATTACCAATTTGGTCATCACTCATTAGTTTTCACGGTGAAATTTCTACCATTCTGTTCAAAGGTTTGTAGAGATATTTCTGTGAGTGCTTTGTGGTACATCAGATGCATTTAGATGTCTGATAAAAATGTCTGCTTTAACAGGACTCTTGCCAACTATTTGGTATGGAGGATGGTTTATTCAAGGTTGTTTAACCTCAGTAGACGTTTTCAGTATCGGTGGCTGGAATTTTCTCGGGTAAGTTAGAGTTTTTATAGCATCTACAATAGTATGAATATTGAAACTATTGGTTTCCCTTATGGTTGCTTGTACCTTTGCAAAACATGAAATATTTCCTGTGCTGGATAAATTTCTTGAATAAAGTGTTTTGTTTTGTTTTTAAGACTCCCTCTAAAACAATTAAAACATACATATTCCTGCATGTGACACAAAGGAAAAATGCCTTTTGGATTTTACTCTTTTAAGGAGTTTTTGAGACCTCACCTTTAAAAAGCTTAGTCGTCTTATGCAGAAAGTTGAAAGCTGGAAAGTAACCCTGCTATTCCTGCAGGCCAAACAGGTTTGGCCAAAATCTAAGCTTTTGAAAAGAACCACTGTTTGTGCATGCACTAATATAGCTCTGGTAAAACAAAAGTCTAAGATTTCGTCTTTTCTAAGCTTGCTCAAACCTCTCTTATGCTCTAGTGCCATCTTAACATGAGCTCTAGCGCATGCGTGTATCAGCCATTTCCATAGAGAAACCGATCAGGTGCCTTCCAGCTTGGGGTTGCAGAAGACCCCGAAGATGGAAGACCTTAGTCACTGCCCCAAGCTATGAAAGCAGAGCTAATTTATTATTAAGTAATATGGACATTTATGTAAAACACATGCATTTGATTAAGTAAACCCTGAATAGAAAGCCACCCTGATAATCCTGTGGGCAGCGTGAGGGCTCTTTAAGCAAATCAAAGATGAAATTGGAACTGAAAGGTGCTTTGTCATCTTGTTTCCATGTCACCTTAGTTTAGATAGTGAACTTTTTGTTTGTCATTATGAAAATTACTTGCTTGGTGACATCATGACAACAAGAGGCTGTCCTGATGCTGCCAGTGATGTGGCACAGAAGGTGTGGGTGCTCTTGCCTCCCTGGTGAGGCATGCAGATGGCTAATTGATGCACCCATAATGTCTTTCTGGAGTGATACTGGACTAGTTCTGAGTTGATCACGTACCTAAAAATAAACGCTGAAGAGTTTGATGGGAACTACACAGAAAAGGCACTCTTTTATACTTCTGAAATCATATTCAAATCAGTCTTGTTAAAAATGACGTTTTCTTTATGTAAAAATGTAAGACACTCACTGTCAGAACCACAGCGACAGGTTTGTGTGTCCCCTACTGTCATGGTCCTTGCTATGTAAAATAGATTGATGTTGGCTCTCAGCCAGTCTGCAGCATAATACTGAGTTATATTGAGTTATATTATGGCCAGAAAAATTCCTGGAAGGAAACTGTAAGCTTTGGACAGCTTTTGATGTGGTAACTAGCTGCTGTCACTTCTTCGGGTACTTTCTCCAGAAGCTTAGGCAGAAATCTAATTCAAACTGATTCAATGCTTATTAACAATGTCATAAAGGTTTCACGTAAGTGGTTGTGAAAACTTAAGAACAGCACAGTAAGGGTAGTGACTCAGCAGCTCATTCCCATTATCTGCCCCTGGGACCTGGAGAACCAGAGTTAGTCTAAGCGCAGTAAACTGCAATAACTAATAGTTAATAGCAGTAAACAGCTCAGGGCAACAGACTTCACAGGTCAGCAGAAAGGACATGAGAAAGGGCGTCTAAGGGAAAAGGCTTTGTTGAAACAGATTTGTTCAGTCAGAGGCTGGGAGGACTAAAGGCATGCAGATCCTTTGTGATCATAAAAAGGACTCACCAACCTCTCGCCAGGTAAGTGAAGAAAACTACTAAATGGCTACTAAAAGGCATGACCGAAGATGACTCAGTGACCCTTAAAGCAATTGATATCTTTTATTCATTCATTCAGTCAGCCTCACCCATTATAAGGATAGTATATTTTTCACCTGGTTCTCATTTTCTTTTGGTGGCTTTTACACCTTACATGTAGAAATCTTGACATCAAGACACTTAAACTCTTTGCAAAGAGAGGGGAAAAAGAGATGATGAAACTTCAAAAAACTTCAGGTTGAGAAATAGGACAAACCTGCTGACTCTAGAGAAAGTTCTTTATGTACCGCATCAACAACTATCAGCACCTCCTCTGCAGTGGTGCTTTGAGTCCTAGCAAGTCACTGTTACTACCTGGAGTACAGTGTTTTAAAGTAGTACATTAATATTAGGAGGACAATTTTGAGGGAGTTGTAGTTGTCTTTTGTAACATAAACATCAATAAACCAGCTGTGAGATGTAATCTGTTCCTCTCAGCTCTGTTTTTACTGATCTCACAGCCTGTGCTGCCTTTCTATACTTCTTACAGTCAAGCTTCCCTCAAAATAGTGATAATTGTTATGTTGTAATAATAATATGTCACAGTCTAAAAGCCAGCTCTGTCTCCTGACTTTGTGTCTGAGGCATAGTCTGAGCTTTTGGAAGGAATTTCAAGCTCTGATGACTAATGCCATGAGTCCCCTTCTTCCCCTATGTCAGGAAAAATCTCCATTGTAGTTTTGCTTGGACCCTGGAGAGAAATTTTTTCTCTTTTTTTTCCCTTCTTTTCTTTTTTCTTTCTTTCTTTTTTTTTTTTTTCCTTCTTTTTGGCGCTGTGTTATATATGAGGCTTGAAAGATTTGGAAAATGAGTTTGTTTTCAAATTTGGCTCTGTTTAGCAAACTATTATCTTATTACGTATTGGTTTGCCTAATGTGGTTTTCTGACAGAAGCAGTGTTCTCTCTGTCATTGAAAATCTATTAGTGCACGTACAGTATTAATAAAAAACATTTGAAAATGCAATTCACTGGTGTATTTAAGTATGAGTAATTGATTAAGCTTCATTACAGACAATATGATGTATAAAATCAATCTTTGAAGTACAAAAATGTCTGACCTCCAATAGCTGAGGGTTAAGCTAGACTGGAATTTTCCAATGAAATCTTTCCTATAAAAAAACCGAACAAATCCAAACCCTTCAGTTTTACTTGAAATCTAGTCTTGGGCTTGGAGGAGGAGACATCTGGGAAAAAGAAGAGGCTCGGAAACAGCTAGATCAGTGCTTAAGAGGCTTGCGTAATCTGTGAGAGGTCAAAATCCTATCCTGCTTGACCTCCTCTGGTGTTGACTGTATTCTGCTTTTACACAGCTGATGGGTGCTAACTACTGGACTGGGATTTTGCTTGTTCTCTGTGGAAAAGCTTAATGAGTTCCTTAAGTAGAAAGGGAGCTCTTTGAACCTTGAAAACAACAGAAGTTTCCTAAATCAGCACTGCATTTGCTGTTTGCTTACATGGACCCATCTCGTATTTTGTATTGTGTGTACTTTTAAAAAATGAACTTCTACCTTGACGAGCAAATGTAATGTTAACTGGGTAAGGGATCACAGCAACAACATTATTCCTATGAGAAGGAGAAATGAAGGCAGCAATGTGCTTGAGCTCTGTTTTGCCATTTTCATTGGTGTGTTGACCATTCTTAACTATTTCTCTTTTGAAATTCATGTATGGTGGTGCAGAGACATCGTCAGAGCCTAGGAGTGTCTATTTAACCACCATTCCTTTAGTAAAATACCAACATCTTTCTACTGTAACATGGAATGATATTTTTTGTGGGAAAACACATGTTCAGTGTTTTTGATGGTTCAAACCTGTTTTCTTCTGAAAATATTCTGTTTGGGAAAGGGACTGAAAGCAACAGGCTGTGGTAAGAGTAACCAGACAGGTAAATGGCAAAAAAGGTGTGGACACATACCTACCAATGTTAGCCATCACTAGTTAGCACAGAAGTTCATGGCAGTGGAGGGCTCTGTAGAAGGTGTTTCCCAAGGACTGACCTCATTTGCATGAAGTTTATCTCCTGGGGACTCTCACCTAGTAAGTGTAGGGAGAGAAACTTTTTGGGGAGATATCTCGGAGCCGGGATTTTCTAGATGAAAGCATCTCTCCACTTAACACAGAAAGGCTACCAAGATTAGTCTAAAATTGGCACTTCGGAATGCCTTCCTGTAGCTAACCCTGTAAGTCTAGCCTCTCTAAGTCATTACCGTTGTACTGTTTCTAAACCTAAACTCTTATAGCTGTGTTGTGGAGTTCAAAAGATTTGTTGTAGCACTTGATGAAAATAGAAATAATTGTAAAGTGTCGTCATTTCCTTTTGGTAGCTGTTTGACAAATATGCTTTAGACTGTACTGTATGTGGATGGAGACTTATTCTTCTTAAACGGTATGATGTTATGACCTGTTACATGCTCCTTCCCACAGGTGATCCATGGAACCACAAGTTTGCTGCCTCAGTGGGATAAATGCATGGACCTTGTTGAAAGCGCACTCCCTTATGCTGTGGGCAAGATGTTTGTGAATGCCCATTTTCAAGAAGACAAGAAGGAGATGGTGAGTCCTCTGAGACCTCTGTCTAGAAACTTTGAATTAGTGGTTTCCTCCTCACAAATTGCCTGTCATGTTAGACCAAAGTTCAGAAACAGACAAGATTCTTAAACATTTAATTGAATTAAAACAAAAATGGCAAGGAGAAAAAATAAAAATTTTGAAGAAATGTCACCTTTCTGTCCATCTAGGCACTGCCCATTCTTTCCATGTACAGTCCTTCAGACAGATATGTAGCCAGATCAAAAACAGGCTGAACACCATAAATTTGCATAAATAATGACAAGCTGTGCAGGAATGACTTACAGTGAACTGCCCATGGAGATTAAAATTAGATTAGAAGCGTGCTTTTCGAGTTAACAATTTGTGGTGTTATCATTTTTGTTTCACTGGTTTTCAGTTCTATTTCTCTTTCTTAAGCAGTAAGGAGGCACTTGAGAAGAGCACTCTTATTTGTATGGATTTTTTTTTTCCTGGCTCATGGCATGTATTTGTCTATGATAAGCAAATCCTGAGTTATGGATAGTATGCCTTCTTTTTCGCCATGTTTTGTCATTGATGTTTCATACCTTAGATGCTTCTCTCCTTTTATCAAGAAAGACATTATTTGTGTCTAAATATAGCACCGTTTCTAACCCAGAGTGCCTGCAGTGTTGCTCACAGCTATGCCTGAGCAGTTTCAGTAATAACTTTCGTAGCAGGAATAGGTTTCTCCTCCTGCCCCCTGCAGCTACAGCTGGTGCATAAAGCCTAAGTATACACTAGGGCCTAGCTGCAGAGCTTGAGTTTGAACTTGTAACCTCCAAATACAGAGAGTTCACCTCATTAGTGCACTAAGCTAATTGAGTCAGTGCTCTGTCATCAATATCTTTAAGTTACCCTATTCCCTGGGATGCAGTTAACTGTGAATGTTGACTGTTTAGTCATATTTAATGCTAGACCTGTTCCAGTTGTCCCGTATTGTCTCTAAAAATAAGATGATATTCCAGGTAGGAAAAATGAACAATCAAAGGAGCTTTGCTATGTTTTGTCTGGCTCCACCACAAACAAAGAACAGTTCCTGATTGCCATTTATGTATCAGATGTATATTTTAATTTAGCTAAGGGTAGTGTTACTTTCCAGAGTTTAGTCTTCGCTCTTGATGACATTTCAGAGCTACTAGATCTATAGAATAAAATTATGTAGATCTCTGGTACTTGACATTTTCATTATTTTTAAATGTAACATAACTGATAACACAAAGATCCAATGAGTCTTCAGGTAATGATTACCTGTCATGCCTTGTGCTATCTCAGCTCTGGTTTGGTCTGTGCTAAAGGACTCCAGCAGTGGCTGGGTCTCCCACATTGCCTCACTCTCGTAGTACTCTTGGTGGCTACCTGTCATGCGGTTCATCTGTTGGTATAAATAGAAGTGGCTGATTTTGTGTATTGTTCTGGTGTATGCTGCCGTATGGACATTTCTGCTCTTTAGAATGATATGATGTATCTCTTAGCCATTAGATTTTTTTTGTTTTCTGTCATTTCAGGGTTTTCTTAGTGCACATACTCACTAAGCACTCCTATTGTTTATTTTACTTGCTTGTGATATGCTTGTGGCTTTGTATAGGCGTTTGAAAAACTACTATTTGTAGAAAACCCATGAAGAAGCAGGCAAGCCAAAATGGTTGTGGGTTCTCCTAGCTTTGTACAAATTGAAGCTGTCGCTGGTGGTTCAAGACCACAGAAACAGTTAAAGCTGCTCAGTGTTGTAAGCCATGGCCTCTATCCTCGCAATAAGCAAGGGGTAGGAGTACTTCACAAATACAGCTAAATACAGGCTACACATTTGGAGACTGCTTTGTTTTTGGATCATGATACTGATTCTCTCTCTGCAGAAAAGGCTTTATTTGTACAAATACCTTGCACCTGTCTCCTTCTGAATGGGATAGTGATCTAGAACCACAGTGTCAGAAATCTCCCCAAACCACTGCATTACTCCCAGAACTTTTTATGATTTCAAGACAGACATTCTCACAGTTGTGACATGAAAGGATCAGCAATAACAGATTGTGTGCTACAACTGAAGGAAAAGAAAATGGAAAGAAATTTGTTTTCAGAAGAAGTGTATGAGGACTGAAGAATGAGAAGAAATCAGCCTTCAAGAAGGAAGAGCAGATACAGTGATTTGGAATAATTCGTGATCTAACCAAATCCATCACTCCTGCATGCACCAGAACTTTTCTTATAACAGTTCTGCCATGACATATTTTACTGAGGAGGGGTTTGTTTTGCAGATGGAGGAGTTGACTGAAGGAATTCGCTGGGCTTTTATTGACATGTTGGAAAAGGAAAATGACTGGATGGATTCTGAAACAAAAAGAAAAGCTTACGAGAAGGTAATGAATATAAATGTTGAATGGGTAAAATCCTGTTATGGTGAAGACTTGACTTGAGTGAGAACAGAATGTCATGGACTGTACTTGCAGTACCTATCGTTTTGTTTGTGAAGAGATGTGTGCCACATTTGTTTTTGCTAGAAGTTGAGGCATCTGAGCTCCTGCTTCTCTGCTGAAATTAGTTTTTGTACCTTGTTCTTCGTACCTTGTTCTTCCTCCCTTACTTCCATCTTTCCCCATCTGTCTCTGGCTGATTTAGATTGTGAGCTCATTTCAGAATTGGCTGTGCAGTGGATTTTCTTGATAAGGTCTTCAGCCTTGATGGGGATGTCAAGGCATCAACTTAGAAACAGAAAATAGTATCTAAAACATCTGGGAGAGCTGAGGATATTTGGTGCGAAAATGGAGGCTCCAGCCTAGAAGGGGATATGGGAACAGTCCAGGTCTCGTATCTTCTCCAATGTCACAGTGGGAGCCTACCTTGAAAGCTATCTTCCAGGAGTGTGGTGACCATCCCAGACAAATACCCATCTCCTGGTACAACAATGCCAGTTATGAAGTGTTATAGTCAAGGATGGCATTGCTGGTCCTGGTTACTTTCAAATGGAGTCACAACAAAATGCAGGAGGTAAAGGTGAAGGTAGGAGGTGCTCAAAGCTCCCTTTTCACTCTGTTCCCATGTTTACAGCATGTGATGCACAGGGAGTTTGTTCAAATGCAGAGTTCTGCCCCCAGAGCAGCAGTTGGAAGAGGCATAAACAAAGAAGAGTGGAGGGCAATGTGTAGGACTGTCTCCTTGTTTGTTGATGCAATGGGATATCGGTGAATTAGTAAATACCCTCTTTGAATAAACTGACATGCAAGTACAGCTGAACTGTTCTTGCTTGCTGTGCTTAGAGTGGTGTTTTGACTTAAAAACAAACATAGACTTCAAAGTTTTTTGGTAATTCTGATGAAAAGGCTGTTGAGGCATTTTATCATTGGAAAGTTTTAAATTCCACATGCAGCCCATTTACATTTTATACAGCAGGGCTCTTCACAGATGTGCAAATGAAACAGAGCTGCATAAATGCACCAATAAACTCTATAGCAAGAGAACAACAGTAAGATGCCATTTCTTGCTAACCTGATCGTAAATGCACTGCAGTTATTACTTCTTACTGGCTGTTATGCCTGATTTTTTTATTAGAAATATGATGATCTGTAATTTAGATATTTGACAAATTTGGTACAAAATAAGAGCAGGAAGACTTTTAAATTATTTCCTTAATAGAGATATTTCTGTACATCTTTACAGGCATATTCAAGTCAGACTGATTGTTGATTTTTCTAGCAAACAATCTGTTTAACCATTTTGTTCAAAATTGGAACCTGCCTTTCATCAGACAATCAATACAAGCGTAGCTACAAATTAATAAACTCACTAAATAGCTCTCCCTTTCTTCTTGGTTCAGGGGGAGTTTTGTTCAGAAGGTAGGTTCTATCTTTTGTAGATAGAGATGCCTGTTTCACTGTCAACACATTTAGGAGGCTTATGACACTTTTCTCCCAATTTAGGCATCTCATTTTAGTTTCTGGATTTAATGGGGTGAGTCTGCGCCGAACAATGCGTGACAAACTAAATTCAAGCTGTACAATAGAAGTAATACTACATGCCATGGTACTATGAATAGCAAATGGTTTAAATCCATGCTCACTGACTTGAGCAACAATTTTGTAGTTTACTGACACAGGAACAAGGTTAAGCTTGTAAGACACAAGTGTTATGTAATGACTTAGAAACTGCAGCAACAATTAGGCAGTAGGACTTACAACTGTAAGTTTAAGTTCGGATTCACTGAAACAGCTACTTGGCTAGAAGGAAGAGATGTTTTGGTAAATTTCCACATATGGAATTTGTGCATGTTTATTAAATACTATTTATTGCTCATTGTAGGTATTGGATTTGTGCTGGGACATTTGGATGGACGTGTTTTTTGTTCAAGAAATAGATTCATTACATGTCTGGTCAGATAATTCACTGGGAAATACAAAAGATTTGTAGCACAACAGAACCTTCAAAATCTGTTACTCCAATTAAACCTCATGAGCCTGCCACATTATTCTGTAACTTTTTAAATACTTACACTTTAATAAAGCAACACAGACAACAGGAATTTTAGACTGCAGATTGGTTGTTTAAAAAACCCCAGTATTACTGTATTACTCTATTGTATAGATCTGTAAAAGTGACATTTCTTTGTCAATAAATGTCACTCGCATCTGTGAGCATAGTGCAAGTGCCATGGATTTCACAATATAGGAAGGAGTTTAGTTTGTTCTTGAAGAGCCAGTTGTATCATCCTGGGGGTGTTCTCAGGTTTATTTTTCATTTTGGAGTGCTATCAAAATAGAGACCAGTGTTATGACAGAGCTCAGTGGGATACCAAAGGTACCTTCTTTCAGATGAAGGCAAGAAAGGGCCCTCTGCTTTGATCTTCTGTGTAGGCAAACTGTATTATTTTAGCAAGTTATTGCTGGGCTGAGCCCAATAACACATAAAACAACTGTTCTAGTTCACTGTGGTTGCCAATGCCTCTATGGAATTTTTTTATTCGTGTGGGATATTCTGCTTGGAAATAAACTTCAATGCTGTGTGAGTATCTTCTGCTTGCTTCTATATCCAGAACAAAAGAGGACACCTGCTTCATTATTAATTGGGTATCCTTCTACATTAAGGTCACCTACCTAATGGATGAAGGGAAGATGGTGTATGTAGTTTTTCTGGATTTTAGTAAGGTTTTTGATACTGTCCCTCACACTATCCCTCTGGACAAGTTATCCAACTGTGAGATGAGCAGGTTTATGGTACACTGGGTGAAAAATTGGCTGAATGACAGGGCTCAAATGGTTGTAGTGCATGGTGCTACATCTGGCTGGGACTGTCACCAGGGGTGTTCCTCAGGGCTCAATTCTAGGGCCAGTTCTGTTCAATATTTTTATCAATGATCTGGATGTAGGAATTGAATGCACCATTAGCAAGTTTGCGGCTGATACTAAACTGGAAGCTGCTATTGTCCCTCTGAAGGGACAAGAGGCTTTGCAGAGGGATCTGGATAGGTTGGACCATTGGGCAATGATTAATGGCATAATTTAACAAGAACAAATGCCAGATTCTGCACCTAGTATGGAGTAACACCAGGCACAAGTATAAACTAGGAGAGGAGTGGCTGGAGAGCAGCCCTGCAGAAAGGGATCTGGGGGTGCTGGTCGGCAGTGACCTCAACAGGAGCCAGCAGTGTGCCCTGGCAGCCCTGAGGGCAAACCGCTCCCTGGGGTGCACCTGACACAGCATCAACAGCCAGTCCAAAGACGTGATTGTCCCGCTGTATTAAGCGTTGGTGCGGCCTCACCTTGGGTACTGTGTGCAGTTCTGGGACCCACCATTTAAGAAGGACTTGAAGGTCCTTGAATGTGTCCAGAAGAGGGCAACAAAGCTGGTGGAAGGGCTGGAAAGAATGTAGTGGCTAAAGACTTTGAGTTTTTCTAGTTTGGAGAAAAAGGAGGCTGAGGGGTGACCTCCTTGCTCTCTCCAGCTTCCTGAGGAGGGGAAGTGGAGATGGAGGTGCTGATCTCTTCTCTTCTCCTTGGTACCCAATGATAGGACACATGGGAATGCTTCAAAGCTGCACCAGGGGAGGTTTAGACTGGACTTCAGGAAGTATTTCTTTACCAAATGGGTGGTCAAACACTGGAACAGGCTTCCTAAAGAGGTGGTTGATGCCCCATGCCTCTCAGTGTTTAAGAGGCATTTGGACAAAGCCCTTAATAACATGCTTTAACTTTTGGTCAACCTGAAGTGGTCAGGCAGTTGGACCAGCTGATCCCTGTAGGTCCCTTCCAACTGAAATATTCTATATTTCATTCTTATTACTAATCAAGTAAAGAAAGGGAGTTATTAGTTAGGTAAAGAAAGTCTTGGCCTCTTATGTTTTCATCAGTAGCTGTCACATTGTCCCATGTAGCAACGCAGAGTAGAGCTCCTGCCTGAAGTTCTAAGGTAAGGACCGTCAGCTGCATGTAAATAACTATGCTTAATATATTGTGCTTTTCCTCCATATTTTTAATCTCACTGCATTCTTGAATTCTTCGAATGCTCTGGAAAGAAAGGAACTTTAGAAACCTGGAGGGTTTTGTTTACTGGGCCTGCTTCGTGTGATCCATTTCTTTCAGTAGCCCTTTTTTTTAACTTCAAGCATATTTGGATCATTAACAAAGTTTTTACTAATTTCTTGAAAGAATCTTGAAACAATAAGATCAATGCAGGGTCTGGATGTCTGGACTGTGAGCATAGAGAGCCTTACTAGAAAGACATCTCATCTTGTAATACTCTTCTGTTCCTTGTGGCAGTTGTATCTTTAGATGACAACACCGTAATCCAAATTACTTGGAAGTCTTTAAAAGGAATTAACTGCAAATCCTCCCTGTGGTTTTGATGCTCACTATTTTTCCTGTTTTCTGCTGCCTGTTGTCAGACTGATCCCAACTTTTCTTGTGCACTTGGCTGAGGCCAAACTTGCATGCCTTGCTGTCAGCCTGACGTTTTGTAGTCAAAAGGACCATTGACCTCCGAAGGATTTAAAAAAGCCCCTCTGGTGGAGTTGATGCTTGAATTTTGCTTTAGGCAGCCTGTCAGCTCCATCTAATCACTGAAATGTTTCTCAGTCTGTGAGTCTCTGTCTGTCTGTTCCATTGTTTTAAGTTACTGAGAGGGAACACTACTAATTTGTTGAGCCCAAAAAATATTGAAAGGATCAAATCAACTATGTCCCCCATGTGACACAGGGAACAATTGTCTTGCCTTGATTTTTGAGAATCGCCCTTTTAGCCTTTGTATACTTTCTTTCCTCTGTAAAAAAAGCAATATGAGATAACATCTAATAATTTCCTTCTCTCTTATCCTCCCCCCATTCCTCTCTTTCTGCAATCGACACATGGATTTAAACCAGACCATCTGAAAG